GATAAATTATCACAAGACTTCATCACTGAACCTGAGTTACCTGAGCCAAAGTTGACTCTTCTCCCAACACTTTTCTAATTATGACAGAATCGTCCAACTCAAATCACTCTTTAGAAAACACCACACCTAACAACCAAACCATAAACAACAATCGAACCAGACACAACTACCAAACTTTATCTTCACCTCTCCCCCGCCGTACAAAAAATCTTATTTCAATTTCAACACTCAACGTCCAGGGCCTCAACTCACGAGGGAAACTTTTCGAACTAACCAAAAGCATTACTAATGAAAGAAGCATCCTTTGCTGCTCTGAAACCAAAATCACAAAACACAATCCACTACCAAAAAAAATAAACAACATAACCATTATTACAAGCCTTCCAAGCAAATCAGCATTCAACGGCTCTGCAATACTCCTAACCAAACCTCTCACTAATCACATTTTCAAAACCTTCGCAACTAATGAGTTCTGGTGTGCAGTCTATTTCAAATTCAAGCCAAAGGTCGACATAATAGTTATTTCCTGCTATTTACCCCACGATATTGATCAACGCAAAAAGGCAACAAAGTCCCTCAAGAACTTCATTAAAGAGCACAACAAAAAACATCTAGTCCTTGCCGGCGATTTCAACTCATATCCCACCTCCACTCCTCATATCAATGCCCAGATCCTTTCTTACAAAAGACAAATATACAGATTCCTTCACAAGTTCACTGACATTGCCAAGATCACAAACAAAGAGTCTTTTTATACACACTTCACTGCCACCAGTGCATCGAGAATCGACCAGATCTGGCTTTCTAACAACTTAGCCAGTAAAATATTAAGTTACAAGGTCCACAACCAAGATCACATCATCACTGACCACAAACAAGTCATCACAATTTTAGATTGGTTCGAGTACAAACCTAATAGAATTTCCTTTAACACCAGAACATACAACTTTAACAAAGCATCACCTGAAAATATTAATGCCTTCCAAGAGGATATCAACATCAAATGCTCACTACAAGATTTACTCTCATGGAAGCAACTTAACAGTATTATCGCAAAAGCCATGGAGGACAACATCCCAAAAAGAGACCAGGCCATTTCAACACAATGCCCAGATCCTACAAAACCTTATCAAAACGCAATCAAAGCCACCAAAAAAGCCATCAACAGAAGCAAATCCAACAGCCCTATCGACAAACTACCACCAATTGCCAACAGCATTCACAAAAGGATCTCAAATAGACCACCACACCTTAAAAGTCTGAAAAAACTGATGAAAATACTTATCAAAAAGAAAATTGCAAAAACTAACAAGATAATACTACAAGAAATTCAAAAAAGTTATGAGTCAAACTATATGAGATTTTGGTCTAAACCAAAAAGTGCACTCAAAAAAGCATTAGGTGATTTAAAGCCCTCTCTCGACCTGTCCATACTACAAGGAGATGACAATTAATTTCATGACGATCCAGACAAGCTTACTGAAACAATCTCCAACCACTTCAAAAAAATATTGAAACCAAGCCTCTTCAACCTTGACACATATTAGGTCAATGAGTATCTTCCCATCAAACATATTTCAAACAACACCTTTGACAGTTTGACTTCTGAAATAAGCCTTCAAGAAATTGACAACGCCTTACGTGACCTACCTAAATGTAAAGCCCCAGAATTATCCCTCATTCCCTATGAAGCTTGGTCCCTATTCGGCACTCCAGCTAGGAACCATTTAAAGTTACTCTTTAACAAAGTATTAAGCTCAAACACAGTTCCCAGATTTTGGAACCAATCAGCTATTACTCTTCTCCCAAAGAAAATTATCTGGTCACATGACCTTACAGATACACGCCCAATCTCTCTAATCGAAACCAGAGAAAAATCTTCACCAAAATCTTGAACAACAGATTGTCACAAACTATCACGAGTAATAATATTCTTTCCAGATTCAATTTCGCAGGCCTTAAAAACCAGAGTACTACAGAGCCCATTGTTATTATCACCTCAGAAATTAACACAGCCAACAATAACAACAAAGAAATTTGGATCGCCTCCTTTGACATCTCCAAAGCATTCGACTCTGTCAATCTGTCCAGCCTCCAACAAGCCCTCAAACGCATTAAACTCTCACAAAAATTTATCTCAATCATACTAGACCTACTTAACAACAGAGAACTCAAAATTATAACCTACTACAATTTAACTGATCCAATAACAGTAAGCAAAGGACTGGACCAAGGAGAAACACTTGCACCACTCTTATGGACAATCTTCTACGACCCTATGGTCACCAAAATTTCAAGAGAACACCAGCCAACCACAAAAATTCTAGCATACATGGATGACATGGCCCTTTCAAGCCATAGTATGATATCTCTCCAAGCTGCAACGAACATTTTCTGCTCCTTTTTATCTCTCAATTCTATCAAATGCAACAAAAACAAAACAGACCTCATTACTAACCTCAGTACAAAAAGTCCAAACAGGAAACATTACTTACTCATTGAAAATGAACAAATATTTCCTAAACACTATAGCAATTGCATCAAGTATTTTGGAATTTATCTTTCAGACAAATCAACCATGTGATCCACCAAAACAAAACTTTGTGAAAAAATCTGTGACTTCTCAAATGCCATAGCTTCTCAAAAAGGCTGAAACGGCCACATCACCTGGCAAGCTTCATACTGGATCATACCAGCCCAACTTGATTACACAATAAATGCCACAATCCCATCAGACAACGACATTGATCTCCTGCAAATGAAAATGAACAAGCCTATTAAAACCAAATTAGGTATTGAGCATACCATTTCTAACAAAATTTCTCACTCACAGGCAGGCCTCAGCATCATCAAACTTCAAAATCGCAGAAACCTTACAGTTATAAAGACTCTAATCATTAAATTAACCAATCCCATCATATGACTCTCAACCATCAAAGAAATCCAATCCATTCAAGCTTCGCATGGCATCTGGTGCTGCCTAATATGCCAACCTCACTATTTCTCTGACTCTTGGCTTACTATAGCAGCCACTCTTGCAAAAAGATATGAAATTCGAATTTGTCCCTTTCAATGCCTCCTCAACATCCAATATCATGAACACTCCATTGGCTTAACTGCCAAACTCAATAAACTAACTGCCCTCCATCTCTCAAACTCCAATATCAAAACTATCCACAATATATATGCCTATAACAAAGGCTATAAACTCACCTGGAACGAGTTACATATTCACAAAGGCTTCATAACCCCGGTCCTACCCCATCATGGTTTACCAATATTCCAGCCCTTTTCAACACTATCACTGGCAACACTTCATTTCTTTTTAATCCAAAAAAAAAATTCTAGACCTACTTGGACAATGAAACTATCAACTTAATCACAACCAGAACAAATGCATTTCTGGCAACCTCAATAAAAGGCCAATATTACACAATTGATAATCAAAAAAGAATTCATAAATGTTTCTGTCTAATCCAGCCATGCCTCAAGGAAAAAAACATTGATACCCTCAAATCAACCTGGACCACCAAACGACTTAATATTTCTTACCTTCTCAATAACCTAAATGAACTCAAGGATTTCTTTCATCCCACTCCTCAACCAACTTCACAAATTATCATACCCCTCAATATCCAACATGACTCTCCAACCATCACCCATATTTTCCCTAACAACAACAAAAATTTAATCATATTAAATAACAACACTACAACATGCTATGCAACAAATACAAACTTCTGGCCTATATTCTGGTCAACACTCAATCAAATCACAAATGACATTCCCCAGTCGTCTACCTTATACATATATCTAAACATCACTCCTGACCTTTCGATGCCTGAATATATAAACAGGCAAATCAAAATTCCATACAGCCACCTCATCAACAATTTTAACAATCTCACCAAATCAAAAAACCTAACTATCCACTGGCTAAAACCCAAAAACGAATAGTCTTCACCACACAACACCACTTCAACAACGTTGACACCCCCCTTAATTCACTCTTCAATACATACAACATCACCACTAATTAATAACAAACATGCCACCAGCATAGTCCATTGGATAAAATTCGTCAACTTTTACACAAACTTATTCAACACCCTTCTAACTCATACATCAATCTTCAAGCCCACAACATTCGCTAATCTCGAAACCGTCATAAAAGCTAACAAAAAACTAAAAAAACCTGACCAACTCAAATACAAAGCCCTATCCACCTTCAGAACCAAAATCATTGTCAACCAGCTACCCACCAAATTAAAGATGAGCAAAAGATACCCTAGCTTATACACTGATAACCTATGCCCCAGGTGCGAAGCCTTTACTGAGGACATTTCACACATCTTCTCGTGCTTATATAGCCACCCTCTCATCAACAAGAAAAAGTCCAAGCTACAAAAACTCATTCTCGAATCCAATAACGAAAATCCAATAACAGTGAATCCAAGGAACATGCTCAATTCAACAAGTTAGGACCTACTTCTCCTTGCCACATGTAACTACCAACCTAATTTCAATCACATTCAAAAAAAAAGAGAGGAAATTTCCAACTATGTACTGAAAATTGTTTACAAAGTTTGGAAACAATGATCCGCGACCTCAACAACTTCACCATTCTCAGGAATAAAATGGAAAAAAACACCAAGCACCAATACCAGTAGTGGTAACAACTTAACCAAAAATGACAATTCAGCATTTACCAAAATACTTAGTACATTACAAAACTCAAACAACCTCACTAACAAGCAAATATTTACTCCAGCAATAGTCTCATCGTTCTGAACAGGCATTGGCCATTCAACACTAGTTACATAAATCCACCTATTTGGTGAAAATTCGTATAGTTAGTTTAGTTGCAATAAGCTACAATTAATTTGTATTTACCTTTTCTTACAAAGATTGTTAATGTAATGACAGTAAACTTATTGTTTAAATAAAGTTTCGCATTTAATGCCTGTTTGCGATTTAAAAAAAAAATAAAATAAAATAAATCAACTCAATTTGTGAAGTATTTAAGGATATGTGATAAGAAACCTAGTGACAATTAATAGATACAAAGCTTTTTAAGTAGTTCATACCTGAATATAAACCTACTTTCATAATGTAAGTTGGTATTTAGATTAGAATTAGGGTGTGTCATTAATTAATTAGCAATAGTTGAGACTGTTTATATAATAGTTATTTGTAACTAAGATTTATAATAAAATCCTTGTATATATTACATCTTAGCCTTTAAAAAAAATAAAAAAATAAAAAAATAAATCAAATCAATTTTTTAAAATTTCATAAAACTAATTAAAACAAAATTTTATAATTCTTATATACTGTTACACTTGATTTTTGTTCAAGATCATTACTACCTCTTGTCTGATTTTAATTAATATTCATTTTTAAAATATTGCATATTCAAAATAATTCTTATATTACTATCCTTGTTATTGTTTAGCACTATGTTTTTTATACTATTGTTGCTTTAGAATATTTTTTATTTTACTTATTTATTTTTATTTTTCTATCTTTACCAGAGTATTAGTTTCTATGTTAATATATACAGATAACTGTTCTGACAAATATAATACTTTTTTTATATCTCTATTATTTCTTATAACTTATAATTATTATATACAAAAATATTATATATTAAATATGTATATAAAGTTTCCAATTTCACCTAAAAATTAGCAGACTTGAATATATATTTTATTAAATAAATATATTGACCTTTATAAACAAATTATTATTGTTTTTTTTGCTTGATCTTATATATCTCAGAACTGTATTAATTTGTACACCTTTAGGAACTTTAGTATATCACATTAGTCCTACCTATATAAAGTATCTTTCTGTTACTAATTCTTTATTTTTCTTTTTCTTCTAAGGTAAAAATAATATACAGTGATCTAAATATGAATTTTAAACTATTTAACATATAAAATTTCACAGATCAATAATGTCCCTTTTGAATGGATATAATTATTTATTCATTACTTTAATAGGAACATAATTCAAAAAACATTTGAATCAAGTAACCTAAATTGCAAAAAATCTTTGTAAATGGTTTTTTTTTAATCTTATATTTTAAAAAAAACTTTTTTAATAGTAAGAGATATTTGAATTATGTCCTTTCCTTTAATTTAGGGATTTATTTTTACAGTGACCTATCATATTATTGCAGATATTTTTTTTTCTTTAATTTTACAAAATTAGGTAAGTAAATATGATATAATTTTTTTATTGCATATTTAATAAATATCAAGATATATTATACTAAATTTTGTATTATTTTATTTAGTTGCTCAAAAGTTGTATAAGAAAACTCACAAAGTTTGTTTTTTTCATTAAATCAGTTTTTTTTTTTTAAATTATTTTAAAAAAATTATTTTATAAAAAAACTAATCTAATTATATTCTAGTATTTTGTAGGTTTTCTTTTAATTTTGATACAAGCAATGATGTGATCAAGTATACTTATAATCAGCTTGCAACAATATTCTGGTGATATATTATATCACACTTGCTTGATATAAATGTTAAGCTGACTAAAATTACTTGGTTTTGGCTTGCGAAATATTAATTTTTTTATTTTGACCCAAAGATTTTTAATCAGATTGAGATCGGAACTTTGCAAAGGCCAATTTATTATATGAATCCTATTCTCATTAATAAATTTCAAAGCTATTTTGGCAGTATATGATTATGTATTGTCCTATTGAAAAAATGAATAACAATTCTTACGACCTTCAAAAATTTTTAAGGCCAATAAAACATACTTTGTAGAATACTGACATGTGAAGTATTAGTAGTGATAGAATTCAAAAAGGTTAATAATCTGAACTAGGTTAAGGTAATAGTTGTCATTGATAACCAGACTTTTGAGATTGATATAACCAATGGAATTAGGATTTTAGGATAACTAGAACAATTCTTAGGCAGAGGTTTTAAAATATTCAACTTATAAAACTTTTTTATAACACTCTATATAGAAGATCTTCTGCAACTAGCAACTGTTACAATAGCTTGAACCAAATCTTTTCTGAGATGATTGTAGATTATAGAATCCTCTGCTCTTCAATAAGGTCTTTCTTGCTGCCTATCTTTTGAGACAATCCAATATGAGCCTCCAATCATCCAAAAAAAAAAAAAGAATCTAATTAACATGAATATATACTTTTTTTGATATTGCACATATTGTTTAGAAATAGTAAAATTTTAAATTATGTTTATTTGTTCGATTTAAAATAATTAAGAAAAAAAAAGTGTTTGCAATAATATGGTAGGCCACTGTATATCTGTACAATTTTTTCTTAAAGAAAATTATTAGAAAAAAAAGAATGGGAAAATTACTTTTTGATAATTTTATTGGAATTTTAAATCTTTATGAGATCAAGCATTAATACCATAGGACTTTTGTTTATGAAAAAGATGAATGTTTTTTTTTGTTAGAATATATTTTAATGGCAATAGTTCAAATGCAAGTTCGTTTAAAATTTACAATAAAAAATCGTAGTTCGTTTAAAATTTACAATAAAAAATCGTAGCTCGTTATTTATTAAGGATATTTAATCAAGATTTATTTATACACACTGCATATTATATAAATACAATTGATAATAACTATGTCAAAAGAAGATTTCTTCTATTTTAGCATAATAACCATTCTCTTTAGGCATGAGCATAGAGGACAGCTCGATGCTACGTAAGGCATGTGTACCGAAATCAAATTCTAAAATCAATCAGGTTCCGAATAAGCAATGATTTAACGATAATCGAGATATACGCAACACAATCTTGCTTCACCTTTGAAATCTTCAAAAACTTCTGATGGAATACGTTTCACAACTTGGTTCTTGCTATTTTGAGACCTGATGGTAAAAGGTCTTCTAATTTTCAACAGAGTTGCGTGAGGTTTAAATTCTTCACGTGTGTTCACGATGCCTTCACTTTTAAATTTTTCCTGAAGGCAGTATGTGAGTTTAGTAAACAAGTCCAATCCAGTGGTCTCTTCGGGAAACGTATAAACAACGCGATTCTCGTTAAATGTATCTAATACAAAAATAGATTTAGAATCAAATGCGTTACTCAAAAAAGAGTTGCTGGTTTTTTAACATCTACCAATTCCTCTGAAATGCAATGATGGCGCACCATCCGGACAAGTTTCCTTCAGTATCTGTTTAAAAATACAGAAACAAGAAATTTTACGGATGTCGAAACAAAGAAAGACATTATCAAAAAAGTCGTATAACAAACATCTTGACATGCTAATAAGCAGTCCTTTGTGTGTATTATCCTGTTGGCGTCTTTCAGGTGGAAAACAAATAGAGTCACGTGAAACTAAGTAAAGATCAAAGTCTAAATGATAAATCATAAGAATGAAAAGTGTCGGTAAAGAGTATCGGTCATGCCACCTGTCGAGGTTCAGTCAGCAATCTCTTGTATGCTGGGTATTTTGTATTCACATGAGTTGAGAATTCAGCAAACTTTTCTCGTATTTCTTCGGAATCAAGTCGAACGGATAAAAAATAATTAGGGCGAGCCCTGGAAGGTCTGATGGCTTTATTGTTGACAGACTAAATTTTGAATTCAGAAATTAAATTTATTCAATTTTACATGTGATCGAATAATTCTCGAAAGGGGCTACCTTGGCAAAAGAAGTTGTAGTGGAAATTAATCTAACATCTAAAGGCATCTCAGTATCAATTTCCGTAGATTTTCCTTGTGTTTCTTCCTGACCATCCTCAAAGTTCGGGAAATCATTGTCCCCCATGTCGGTAATTTTTCATTAGATGATGTAACATATGCGGTAATTAATATATGCGATGATAATCTAAATTGATCGTCCAACGATAATGATAAACTCATCGTGCTTTCCTCAGAAATCTATGGAACAATGGCTTCTCGATTTAGTGCAGTGAAGTTGTTTCGAGGTGTAATTTGGAACCCTAATTTTGGAACTATTCCAAAAAGCTATCTTCTAAGGCAAGGTCAACGTTTTAAACATTTGACGCCACACGTTCCTTCTCGTGGTCTGTTATCAACACCTCGAGTGCACCTTGCTTCCGTTTCTGACCAAACTGTCGATCCGAGGCTTACCGCCGAGCGATTTGTCGATGAAACTGACGTTGTGATAGTTGGAGGAGGACCATCAGGTCTTTCTGCGGCGATCCGATTGAAACAGCTTGCGAATGCCGAAGGGAAAGAGGTTAGAGTGGTTGTGATTGAAAAAGCCAGTGAGCTTGGTAGGTATTTTATGTAGGTGTATTCGATTTTATCTTTATCGCATCACTTTCCTCACTTCGACTATTGGTTGGTTTGACCTACAGGAGCACATACCGTCTCAGGTGCGGTCATAGAACCTCGAGCTCTTAATGAATTAATTCCTGACTGGAAGGAACGAGGTGCTCCCCTAAACCAGCCAGCAACAGAAGAAGATTTACGATTTCTTACAAAAAAATGGGCGATCCCCCTTTTTTCCCCACCACAGATGTTAAATAAGGGAAATTATGTCGTTAGTTTGAACAAATTTGTAAAGTGGTTGGGGGAGCAAGCTGAGGAAGTTGGCGTTGAAGTATACCCTGGCTTTTCTGCAAGTGAGGTTAGCCAAATAGCACGGTCATTCTTATTTATATGAGAAGTCATGATTCAGTTACGAATTCGGTTTTTGACATAGGTTTTATACAACGAAGATAACAGTGTATGTGGTATCGCCATTAATGACATGGGTCTTGACAAAGATTTTAAACCGAAGGATAACTTTGAGCGCGGTATGGAGTTTCGCGCCAAGGTTACCCTCTTTGCCGAAGGGTGTCATGGTTCACTTACTAAAACGCTGATAAGAAAATTTGATCTTCGCAAAGGAAGGCAACCTCAGACATACGGAATAGGCATAAAGGAAGTGTGGGAGATTGATCCGGAGAAAGCCAAGCCAGGGTATACGCTGCATGCAATGGGATACCCGTTAGACTGGAAATTGTATGGTGGAGGCTTCTTATATCACATGGAAGATAATATCGTTCAAGTAGGATTCGTTGTGTCGTTAGATTACCAAAATCCATATTTGAATCCCTACAAAGAATTTCAGGTTAATATGGCAACCTAATACTATTATTTATCACGGGCATTATTAACCAAGCGATTCATCCTACTCCGTAGAGATACAAACTTCATCCGTTTATCAAGAAGCACCTTATAGGCGGAAAGCGTATCGCATATGCGGCACGAGCGATAAATGAAGGTGGCTATCAGGTAACGATTTCATACCTAAGCACGATTGATGTTATGAAACGCAAAATTCCTTTCAGATAATATAAACAATTATTTTGCGCACACAGTCAATTCCCAAATTGACCTTTCCTGGCGGAGCTCTTATCGGATGTACAGCTGGATTTTTAAATGTTCCAAAGATAAAAGGAACCCACACAGCAATGAAGTCAGGAATGATCGCTGCTGAAACAGCATATGACGCAGTCACGTCTGAAAATGCTTCAACGGGACCAATTAACTTGACTGCATATGAAGATTCTATTGAAAAATCGTGGGTTTACGAGGAATTACGTGAAGTACGAAATATTCGTCCTTCCTTCAACAGCCCACTTGGTATGTGGGGTTTTGTTTGTTATTCAGGATTGGATATGTTATTTCTGAAGGGTCGTACGCCATGGACATTCAAACACCACGAGGACTACGCCTGTTTGAAACCAGCCAAGTAATTTCAATCACAATCACTCTAGTTGTTATAAAATCTTGGTGTAATTTTTTTTAACTCCTTTTATTGCTCAGGGAGTGTAAACCGATTGAATATCCGAAGCCTGATGGTGTAATAACATTTGATCTTCTGGATAGTGTTGCCCTCAGCGGTACGATGCACACCGAAAATCAACCGGTCCATCTGCGATTAAGGGATAAGAGTATTCCGGTCGAAAGGAATTTGAAAATATTTGATGGTCCGGAGGGAAGATTCTGCCCAGGTAAAATCAATTCTGATCTTAACGGAAAGCATGCTTTTTAAACCACATTTACCATCTCATTTATTCTGTTTAGCCGGGGTCTACGAGTTTGTTGACGACGAGGCGAACGTTGGTCAAAAACGTCTGCAAATTAACTCCCAAAACTGTGTACATTGTAAAACATGTGATATCAAGGATGTTTCACAAAATATTGATTGGGTTACACCTGAAGGAGGGAATGGTCCAAAATATGTTCTTACTTGATTTCAATTTTGTGAATGTAAATAAAGGTGTTTAAACTTAATACTACATTCCAACGATAGGAATTAAATTATGTGATATGGGTTTGATCAGGTATTTGTTTTAACATAAAAAAACAAATTATTATTTCAGTTTTACGTTAATAATAAATGTTATCGTTGTTATTATTTAACATCAACCGAAACTTGTCAAATATTTATTTTTGTCAACGATACTTTAATAAAAAATCCAAAAAAATCGCAGTATACAGTATATTTGTATATATTTTTAAATATTGTTAACAATATTATTGTTGCAATAGAGATTATAGATCTCATTGACAAATTAAGGATTGTCGTATGTTCATAGTGCTGAGCACTAATATTTATTTGGTTTTAGTTATCTAAACGCGTATTATCAATATTATCAATATCTTATATACAAGTTTTTTTTTTTTAGATTTTCATCGTAGCCACTCGTTTCGTGTAACATAGCAGCGTAAATAGATTACAACCAATCATATTTTATGACTTTTTGGTAAAGAAAAAAAAAAAAAACCGTCTTCTCTTTCTTACCGCTGCATCGAAAAAAAGAAAAAAAAAGCATCTTAATAGAGATGAGTCAAGCAAACGCAGCAGCAGACGCGACCGATAGAAATGTGGAAATCTGGAAGGTGAAGAAATTGATCAAGAGTTTAGAAGCCGCTAGGGGGTATGTCTAGGCAACCGTTATTTTGATGGCTGCGCCCGAAGAGAATTTTTTTTCATTTTTCAATTTTGCTTTTGGGTTGGTGTTTTCATGTTTTCAGAAACGGGACTTCCATGATCTCTCTCATCATTCGTAAGTCGCATTAATGATTGTGATAATCGATCAAATAAAATTTTGTTTGCTGACCGTTGATGTCTTGAAACAGCACCCAAGGATCAAATTTCCCGTGTTGCAAAGATGTTGGCAGATGAATACGGTACTGCGTCCAACATAAAATCTCGCGTTAATCGTCTATCGGTGTTGGCTGCAATCACATCGACCCAACAGAGATTGAAGTTATACACCAAAGGTAAAAATGAATTGTTCTATATTCGTCGCCGGATAATTTATATACTCATTACATGTTCACTTCTCAACTGTAGTTCCGACCAATGGTCTTGTTGTTTACTGTGGTACCATTGTCACGGATGAAGGAAAGGAGAAAAAGGTCAATATTGATTTCGAGCCTTTCAAGCCCATCAATACCTCCCTATACCTTTGTGACAATAAGTTCCATACGGAAGCTCTATCTGAATTGCTTGAATCGGATAACAAATTTGGATTTATTGTGATGGATGGTAATGGCGCCTTGTTTGGAAATTTGAGTGGTAATACAAGGGAGGTGATTCATAAATTCGCGGTGGAGTTGCCAAAGAAACATGGTATGTGTGGATTATATTTTGTTTTCAGAGGTGCATTTTTAGACTACAAATTTAATTAAGCATAATTTTCTTCACAATAGGGCGAGGTGGTCAATCTGCATTACGATTTGCTCGTCTTCGAGAGGAAAAACGTCACAATTACGTTCGTAAGGTGGCAGAGTTAGCTGTCCAATTCTTTATCACAAACGATAAGGTAAGCAAGAAATGGTTATTATTATTATTATTATTTAATGGAGTAGCTTATGTCAAGACATCATTGCTATTGTAGGTCAACGTTACAGGACTTATTCTCGCAGGTTCTGCGGACTTTAAGACCGAGTTATCTCAGTCCGATATGTTTGATTCGCGTCTTCAAACCAAAGTTATTAAGCTCGTAGACGTTTCTTATGGTGGAGAAAATGGATTCAATCAGGTAAAAGTGATATAATGTTTTTTTTATTCACGGTTTAACATCCGATATACTAAGTATTCTCAATGTTTTACTGTTTAGGCCATCGAACTTGCCGCCGAAAGTCTGGCGAATGTTAAATTCATTCAAGAAAAGAAACTCATCTCGAAGTATTTCGATGAGATTTCCCAGGACACTGGTAAATTTTGCTTTGGTGTCGAAGATACACTCAAAGGTTTGGAACTTGGTGCCGTTGAGACTCTTATTGTCTGGGAAAATCTGGATGTTACTCGTTACACCATGAAGAATTCTAGCGGAGGTATGAGCATCACACGGTTTGAGGTCGCATATAATCGACTTTTTCTAATATATATATATATTGATCGATTATTTAAGCCGAGGTAATCGTCCATATGACCAAAGAGCAAGAAAAAGATCGCACTCTCTTTCTAGATAAAGAGACTAATGTAGAAATGGAGGTTTCGGATAGACTTCCGCTTTTGGAGTGGTTTGCTGATCATTACAAGGAGTTTGGTGCTACACTGGAATTTGTGACCAATCGTTCTCAAGAAGGTTCACAATTTGTCAAAGGATTCGGTGGAATTGGAGGATTGCTTCGTTACAAAGTTGACTTTGATACTCTGAATTACGATAGTGAAGAAGATGGTTTCTTTTCTGGTATTTAAAAATTACCATGTTTACTGAACTAACGAACTCATTTTGACACATAAATATAACCGATAATCAATCTACTTTAGATTGACAATATGCCATTGATCTTCCAAAAAGAGGCGAAGATATGACAGGGCCGTCTGCATTTCGGCCACAGGAGGCGCAACGCATGATGATGTTAGTATAGACAAGGTATGGTGAACAAATTTTCACGGACAACATACAGCGAATAGGTTTACCAAGACGTTTCTAAACATAATTTTTTAAACCATATTTGTCAATAGACCATTGGAACCATGAAGTGCAATATCAAAACAATCTTAATTTCACTGAAAAATTACCCCAAAATATTTCGAGCTGTTTTTGTTGATGAACATGCAGCATTGAAATACACAAGTGAGATCTGGCGACTAAATGAAATTATATGTAAAAGCTACAATTCACTTCACCCATCCATAGGGCTATTGGCATACAGATAACAAAATTTTCTTATGCTTTATTTTATTATATTTTTCTTTGCGCAAGGTCTACTATTCGATTTTCCCTCCTGTTTGTCTAGTTGTTGATTGAGAAATGGTTATATATTTCACGATGAAGTTTTCCGCATCGTATTAATTTTCTCAATAGCTCTCTGGAGATCAACATATTCGCCCTCTTTTTGGAATTGATCATTTTCTTCGTTTGTGGAAAAATCCACCAATTTTTTTTTTCTTTTTCACGTTTCTCCTTTAGATGAAAACGTTACGATTCTTATTTTACTATAAAATTCATTCTATGTTCTTTATCTAGTTCCTTTTTTGCTCCAATTTAGTCTCGCTTATCTAAATAAAGGATGCCTCTTATTTGGGGTGGTAATTTTTCAAAAAAAATTCGAATCTCAATAATAATAAACTATTTGTTGACGTATTTCAAGCTCGGAGAATATTAAAATATAAAGTGGCACGTGATCACAGTGTGTTCAAAAAACTCAAAAAATCATTCACGTGCTTGCAAAAAATGGATAACTTAACCGTACTAACAGAAGGGAGCAAGGTATATTCGGAAAAACGAAAGCGAAAAAAAGAACGACCAACTGAAGTGATATTTGATGAAACTGCGAGACGGTATGGTGTAATCAGCTTGGGCATAGACTGATAAAGGCTACTACTGATTTGCCGAAAAAAATAGAGAGTTTCTGACTGGATTTCACAAGCGAAAACTTGAAAGAAAAGAAAAAGCAAGAGAAGCTGCTATTCTGAGAGAAAAGAAGGCGAGAGCTGAAACGAGAAAAGCTGTACGTATCTTAATTGTTGTGCGAACTTTAGAAATTTTACTTACCCTTGAACGTGTAGGCCAAGGAGGCAAAAAAAAAAGAAATTGAGGAAAAACTAAAAGCGTTTCAATCGTTGATTGATCGTACGTGGAAAATTCTCATATGTAAATGTTGAGGTGATCGAATCATTCTAATTATATGCATACCTATATTGTAGATACCAACATAAGTGAAAACGATTATGATAGCGTTGACGAAGTTGATGATGACAGTGACAACGACTCTTCTCGCCAAAAACTGTCGGAATATAAAGCACCACAAACGTTAACTACCGTAACGATTATAGAGGACTTTGATGTATCGGAGGCGATGAATCATGATGGGGGTGACCCTAAAAGGATCAAATTAGAGGTCAAAGAAAGTGATGGCCGAGATGAGAAAACTGGAATGGATGCTAAAAAGTATTTTTTGTTTTTATTTTCATCAAGGGAAATGCTCTGCATTATAATATTCCGAATGCTAACTTGAATATTTTTTCCAAAGTTCTACCAAGAATTCGAACAGCACCAATATAAAAAATAGGGATAAAAGGAAAGATGTGAAAAAGAAAAAGTCCAAGATACGTCACGGTCGAAAAACAAAGTCATCCTCATCGCTGAGATCAAAAAGAAATCGAAAATGAGAAGCCTCTAGTTTGAATTTTTTTCTCTTTGGAACATGCAATTTGGTACGTGATGTTATTCGTTGGCATATAATGTTTTTATGAACTGATGAGCGTTTTACGCCAAATTGATGCACCTGAACAACGTGACGCTCGTCACTGGATGTTGACAAAACGTGAAACAATATGGGATTCCTCGTTTCTGATCTGTTGCATACACGAGAGGACTTTTTGAACAAGAATTACATAATGTATATTAACGTAATTTCTTATTTTGGATAAATAGGAGCAAGATTCCGAGTTCCGGGCGTCGGTTTTTATTTCCGAGATTTCTTCACTCGAAAATTTCAAAGACAAATTCATACGCACTAGCTTATAAGCAAGTTGGGAGGTTCAATAGGTTTGTAAATAAAATGATAATGGCGTAGGTCAAGCAAGAATGTTTCAATATTAATATTAAAAAATAAGCATGATCTTTTATAGATTTGATTTTTTTTATATTAAATTTAATAACGATTAATTAGAAAATAATAATAAATAATAATCAAATTGATTATTAATTCAATTTAATTCGTTACTTACTGATTATTTTTAATGGTTTTGATTAAAGCATTAATTTGAAAGATAACGATAATGATGAGAAATTTACAAATCCTATATAAAAATTGATTCTAAAATTTCAATTGAAAATATACAGTAAGTTTTTTATTGTTTTAATTTATTTTGATCCGCTATTAGATCAATAAAATATTATTGTTTGCAATTTAACAATTCAATTATTATCACTACAATTAGATAAGTCAATAAATAATAAGTGATAAAATTAATTTAAATAAATTTTTTGTATAATAACAATTTAAATAAAGTCATACTTAATATCTAAAATTCCGATTTGTCAAAATAACATACTTGATTTAGCTTATTTATCAATGTCACAAGATCTTTAAATATGATTTATAGAATGAAATATTACTTGTCTATTGAATATAATTATGATTTTAAGTCTTAATAAGATTAAAATTTGCAAATTAATTTTCAAATTATGTGTTATAAATTTGAATTGTATTTTTCTTCTTTTGTAAAAATCATATAAAATAAAAGAAAAAAAGCCATACAAATATATATATTAAATAATAATAATAATAATAATAATAATAATAATAATAATTGTTTATTTTGTTTATTATTCGAATATTATTTTTTGATTTAAACAAAACTTCAAGTTTCTAATAATTGTTAACATATAATTTTTATTAATTTATTTAATTTTTATTATAATAGATGATATTAAAAAAATATTTAAAAGCATTTTTAGAAAAATGGTTTTTTAAATTTTATATTAAAGATTTTTAATTAGAAAAAATATTGATTTTTTTTTATTTTCAAGTTTCTTTTAAGCTATACAATATATATATTTTGGAAATTGTTGTTTTTATGTTTAATCAATAAATAGTTTTATTTTTTAAAAAATATATATTTTCAAAATAAATATTGTTACTTGAATTAATTATCAAATTTAAATATAATTGAAATTTTAATATTAATATTTTTTATTTTAAATAAATGTAGTAAATTAATTGATAAAAAAAAAGGTTTATTATATTTGTTTACAATTTCAATTTAATTTGATTTATTATTTCATATATATATATTTTTTAATTAAAATGATTCAACTTTTTTAAAAATTAATCATGTTATAGTTTTGTTATTCAATAATTAGAATCTGTAAAGAATGTATCTTGTTTTATTTTTTTTTTATATTTGATATATTCAATTAATTAATTTATAATTTTGATTAGAACGTTTTATTAAAAATTTAAAATTAAGGAGATGAACAAAACTTTTTTAAAAAAAAAATATAAAAAGAAATATATTTATAAAAAATTAAAAAAATATATAGATTAAAAAAAAAACAAAAACAAACAGTAATTGTTATTTATTTTATTATTATTATAATATAAAACCTTTTGTGAATTTTTATTTTTTTGGAGTTTTTAAAAAATTAATAGCGTTTTTTTTTAAAAAAATTCAGTTATCATTATTTGCTATAATTAAATTTATTATTTAAAAATTTGTTATTTAAAAATTCGATTTTTTATTATTTTGATTAATTTAAAATTTTAAAAAAACTTGATAAATTTACCGTGAATAAATATATGTTTGTCTGTTTGTTTGTTTTATTTTATTTATTTTATAATGTATATTATTAAAATATATTTCTAGTGATATTATCGTACCTACTGTATGTGAGTCAAAAATTATTTTTTTTTTTTAAAAAAAAATTATTTTATTCTTATTAAAGATATATATAGCATAGTACTGTAGGTTTTTTCGTAAATAATGAAGTTGCCATTTTTGATTCTGTCATTTAGATACAAAAAAAGTTTATGTCGCATATACAGTAGATATAGTTGATCAAAATTTATGTAACAAAAATAATTTTTATATGACTTTCTATTTGTTATTCGATTACAATTAATTAAAAGTACGTACAGTGTATCATTTATGAATTGTTAATCCAATACACATTATGTAATTATGTTTCTATAAAAGGATTCAATTAGCAACGTAACGCATATTGGGGGGTGATTTTGAAAATCGACAAAGTTTATATGATATAATGTGTATGATTGAAAGATATTAAAACAGATAAGCTAATTAAGAAAAAGGTTTAATTAACAATCTTTAATTCCACGGGGTATCGTGATTGGCCGGCCGTACGAGTGTCGCACAACGAATCTAATAAAAAAAAAAATTTTTTTTTTTTTTTCCTCGAGTACTTGCTTTAAACATGTCTGTAATCTTTACAAACGAAATACTCGGTAAAATCTTTGCTTTCTCTGATGTGAAGACATTACACTCATGCCTTTTAAGCAGTCGACTCCTCTGTACAATTTCGGTCCCTTTCCTGTGGTCAACTCCGCTGGAGTACCTTTACTCGAACCAAAAGATACCTCCAAAGTGGACTAAAGTTTATTCACTCGCCCAAATCTACATTTCTTGTTTGACCGATGATTCCATATCTTTGTTAAAATCTTCTAAAATCCCGCTAACCCCTTCCATCGTGCAACAGCGACCTACCTATGACTATTCTTCGTTCCTACAAAATCTCGACTATAAATTGTTGTTTGATTGTGTGGCGGTGTGGCTAAACCGCTCTGAGAAATCTAGCATGCGCTCTACTCGACAACATTATCTTGTCGTCGAAGAACTAAGCAAACTATTTTTCATTCGTACTACAAATCTAAAGTCTGTCTCGTGTAAAGTTTGGCCAAATCTAATAAACAATGGATTAGCACCAAATTATTTGACATTAACTGCTCTTCCAAGTGCCGAAATATGTTTAAAATCTCTGGAAAAATTTTCGGTCAAAGATTCGGTTCCGACGGATTTTTGCGAAGGATTTTCTCGCGTATCAAAAGGTATCAAAAATCTGGAACTTCAGCCGATGGATAAGGAGGAGGATGACGAAATGTTCGCCGGACTGATCAAGTCCCTGAAAAAATTAGAAACGATTATAATCTTTTCTACTGATCCAGATAAATATCAGTTACCACAAGTTGCCAATGCCTTGAAACAACATGTTCGGTCATTGAAAACCATAAGTCTATGTTATAAAATTTCCGTACCATTAAATATATTCACAGATTGCGTTAACCTTGTAGATCTAAGAATTTCACATTTGAATCAAACAATTTCAAGTTCAACATTCGAACTGCTCTCCAAAACGCAATTCACCCAACTCAAAGTATTACACATAAACTCCCGGAAATTGTATTTGGGTCAGATCGCGATGTTGATACAAAACACCGGTGGACAAATTGTGGACGTCTACCTGGAATACGAACGAAAGTATGGAACGGAGCACAGTATCGACTTGATAAATAGCATAGCCGAGAATTGCTCGAACCTTAAGGAACTACGTGCATTCATACCTAACGAAGCTATACATCGGTTGCCCTATTTGTTCACTTCATGTCCGAGACTCAATAGTGTGTGCTGGTTGGATGGCGACTCGGAGGGCGAAGATGAGCCTGAAGAAACTGTGGATATCAGTGACGCGATGATTGAGATGTCAAAAGTTTATCCCAAAAATTTGTACGAGTTTTTGGTGTTTGCTCATTGGGAATTTAGTGGAACCGCGTTGAAATGTTTCTTGTGGAATTGTGAACGAAGGTTAAGTGCAAGGAACGATCGAAAGTTGGACCTTTTTGTACCGGCATGGGGAGAGGATCAGATACCGGTGATCAAGGCATATGGAAAAAAAGGATTTTTGGAAATGAGAGATTGGACTGGAATTATTCAACAGTACTACACGAGTCTGAATCAGAGGTAAGTAAATGGACGAGAGGAATCCTGTATGAATAATTTACATTGGAACAAATTATTGTTAATTTTTGCATACCAACTCAAATACTAGCGATGAGGAGATTCTATGGGATTCCTCGGAAGATGAACAAGATTCCGACGATTCTGGTGTGGATGTGATGTCATCCCCTGCGTATAAAGCATTTCGACTCTCTTATGTTGCAGACACACAAAAGAACGTGAAGAGCAATACAAGTTTGATGGCGAATGATGAATTTGATTTTTTGTCGGAGGTTGATGAGGTCCCTGGTGTTGCCTGAATGAGAGAGGATAAGACTTGGGAGACCTGATGGAGGTGTTGTCTTTGAGATGGAATTTGTATTAGGAATACGTGATTTTGGGAAAGGTTCGCGTTTGCAAAGACTTTATTATTTTATTCTATTTTTTTTCTTGGAGTCGACTCATGATTCAAGGACAGAAATTATCCTGGCGACTCAAGTGTGACATGACGTGAGTTATTTCGTTTCTTTTTACTTTTTGTCTGTTGAACTCTGAACTTAAATCATATTCACATTCTGTATATTTTATATTAATTGTAATATTATGGTAATGTTAGGACTATCAAATAGCTTGTTAGAAAATATAATTGTACTGTAGACAAAATTGTGTATGATTATCGTTATTTGATCGAAGCTAGGCAATGATTATTGTAGGAAAGAACTTGTTGTTCTGTGTAAATTTTGTGAATATTGTGAATAAAAGAACTTTTTTTTTTTTTTTGAATACTTCAATAAAAAGTTTCATTAATCGTATATTTAAAATCAAATTTCATTCAATTTCCACTAGTTGGACTTTTTACACTTTTGTATCTATTGTTTTATCAGTACTTTCTGTTCTACTTTAAAAAAAATATTTTTTTTAATTACACACATTACGATATAAGAGTTTCAAATAGATAAAAAAAAATTTTTTTTTTTTATTTCAGAATGATTGCAGCATATAAAAATAATTTGTTCATCTTGTATTATATACTATAGATATTTTCATTTGTTTTTTTAAAACAAAATTTATTTATTTATTTATTCAAACGAATAATAACATGCATATACTGTATATCGTGTATTGTTGATTAATCTGTTTTGATTGTAAATTAACAAATAATTAGTTAATAAAATTTTTGTTTTTTTTTTAATTAAAAAAATTTTTTTTTTCTTTATAAACTATATTATAATAAATAATATTAATATACAATATATGCTAAGTTAAACGCATTTATTATTACTGATTTAAAGTTTTATACACAAATCGTACTTTTATTATATCTTTGAATTAAGTTTTTTACAATCTCACATGTTATTTAAAAAAAAAAAAAATGTATGCGAGTCTATGCACAGATACGGCTGATCGATCACGTGACTATGTAAAATGAAGGGTTGTATTTTACTTATTTTTCTATTATGCTACAGTGTTTCGCGTATATGGTTTATTAATAACTGGCAAAAATAAATATCTTGTCATGAGGGAATCCTGGATGGGCATAACCCCGCGCTATGCCTTGGACAAATACGATATTTTCACTTGCGTACCATCGCGTTTTCAAGTGTATTTATTCACGCACTCTTTGATATTATACACAGTACTCTTGTATCAGAAACGTAACCAAAATTATGATATTGTACAGTTCTTAATTACCGCAAATCTTCGTGATCAATGATAAATTGATTGCAATATTTCTCTAGTTGGCTAGCCTTCAATTCTTCCGATATTCGTTTCAAATATGCCACATTTGACATCGACACCAGTCGCGAGAGTTTCAGCTCCATCAAATCTTTCAAATGTTCTAATTCGTAGTTGTTGGCCAACTTAAGTAGGTCCACGTATGACAACATGTTTGGGGATCCACCTTCATTGTTATTTACACATTGGACTGCGTCGTTGATATCTTGACCATACAGGTAACGTAACAGGATGCGTACCGAGTTCGGCTCGGCGTCGTCAATAATAATCACGGTTGGATTGACCGGACTTGATTCTGCTGTGAATTCTCCTGATGCGAATTTCCGATAAAAAAATATCGAACTCGCCGCAAGCATATATCGGCTTGTGCCTATCATCTCGCCTTTTACGTTGAAAATAACGTCGTGCAAGGAAATCGCTTGTTCCTGATTTAATAGAAATTCGAACATGGCGTTATTGTTAAAGAACAACTGATTGTGTTGCCTGACGATTATTTCTACATTGGGTGGTTTTATTTCTCGAACATTTGCGCTTTTCAGCATGTTTGCATATTTGGCAAGTTCTGGGTTGACATATTTCCTCTCTCCTGGTTCACTGTTCAGGACCAGATCATTCGCCGATACCCAGTTGTCGGTGTCAAAAGGATTTGGATTTTTATTGAAATTTAGGAATAATCTTTCGTTTGGGTTAATGTAATGGCCCAAATTGAGATCTTCATTTATGGATTCTTCGTTAAGCCATTTATAAACTTCGTAGACATTGTACTTGAATGTATCCGCCCAATTGGTTTTCCATTCTTCATCAACCATGAGTTTTTCACGCAAGAATCGAAGATGTTCGACCACCGTGAGGGCATCCGGTTTACCAAGTGATGGGTAAACTTGAAGCATTTGTGGAGGCGGTACGACATCCTCTGCAATCAGTGACTTTTGACTCCACGCAACTTCTTTATATTTGGGGAGAATTATCTCTTTAAAACAATTTAGAACTCGAGGAGGTTTATAGTACAAACTGTATGGATTATCTAGACTTTGGGCGACCGGAACGAATGGAATTCTTTCGATGTTCTCCAACTTGAGAATATTTGAATTCTTGTAAAGGTAATTGACCAAGACCGAGCCTCGATGGCGTAAGTCGGTCGGTGGATTCCGCTGATTTTGATATTCTTCGATCTTCTCGGCACATTTGTTGAAGGTGGCTTGATCAATTCTATTCTTGAATCCAATGGTTGATAGCGTCGATGCAAATTCCGAAAGATCGGGATGAAGGAAGACATCAGAGCCTGAAAACAAAGCCCAAAACACGTAATTTCCAAAATCGTATAAATCAGAGGCTTTCTTCAGCCTTTTCTTATTCACGGTGGGAAAACAACGTCTATCCCTCAGACCTCGGGTAATTCCATAAAAGGTCTTATCCCTCTCATACTTGAGTATACTTTTTAGGAATGTCATGTATTGTTCATCATATTCTTTAGGGAAATCGACATCTTCAAAGATATATGAGTAGACGTTTCGATGAGGGACAGCGAGGTCGACCAAAATCCGATCGTCGAGATCGTCCGACGAAGCCAAATATACTTTGGCATCTTTTGTTCGATACAGTTCTACCTCCTTGGGTAAAATGAATCCAGACGATATTGGCTTTAAAGCCGGCTTTATAGTTGACTCTGAGAGACTCTTGCGAACTGGCCAAATAGGCAATGAGAGGATCATCGTCTTGAGGCTGGCATCAGATTTTACCCCTACATGTAAATTGTGAGAATGAATGAATTAGATTACGAAGGTGTCTTATCAGAAATTCAGGGAGTACGCGGCTACCTATTTCATCCCAATTGTTTCGTAATAAGTGACGGAAATCCTCGATCTGGTTTCGCGATAGGGCTTTGAATATAACGTCCACGTGACTACCACCGGACACCGATACGTTAAAAAAACAGTGCATTTTTTTTTCTTTTCTTTTTTTTTTTTTTAACAAAAACATTATCATTCATTTATTTATCTGTTACCTGCCGTCATTGACTCCATCGGAAATCAACGGAAAGAGATCTTTAGTCTGCAGTAAATGAAAGAGCACCTTGCAACCATATTCAACTGTGTACTTTGGGTAATTTCGAGCGACCGGTGGAAACGGCCAGAATTTTGAGATGGCCTGTTCTTCAAGAGTGATTTTATTATTTTTCTGAAATTCGATGATTTCTTTCAAAAGTTCACAATAAAGTTTTGGTAGAAACTCGAGTAGAATATATCTGTTCCAGTTGAGTTTCTGATGATCCAAATCTGGTAAGTCGTCTTTTTCAATTAATACCCGCGTACGATCTGAGCTCTGAGCCCAGGTTCCATTAATGTGAACCGGCAAGTTAATCACGTCTGGCAATGAAAGGAACGAGTACATTCGACCTTTGAACTCATTTTGATTTTCATTTAAGCTTCCGTTAAGATTAATGTTGACCGATTGATCGTCAACATATGTCCTTTTTCTTGTACTGCTAAGTAGCGCTGCGACACCACCTAATATGCGTAACCGATGCCTCCTCGCGTATTGCTTCAGCTGTTGGTCTTCAGGGTCTTGTTGAGCGCCAGTGGCAATAAACCAATGTTCATTTTGTTTGCTTGAATCGTCGATTAACTCGGTCCTCATCTGAAAGATTTGGATTTCACCGTTGATAATGGACCTTCTCTGGTTTCGCACACCATCGTCCATTCCTGCCACAGCTTTCCAAATGGGTATCACTTGATCTGAGGCTGTCGGTATGTGTGAAACTTCGATGGTTTCAATGTTTCGCAGGAATAGGAACTGTGAGGAGATGTTTAACTTAATATTGGAGAGCAATTGGAGAACCTGAGCCGTGGTAAAAATGCTGTCGGATATGTCGCTCGGTTGCTGCCGGAGCGGTATTCGAAAGAGTGTTCCTTCGAAACTCGATTGAAAGAAGTTTCCTTCAATGCCTTCATAAGGGATCAACTGATCCTCTTCGAGAAATCCACGGATACCTTTTTTAGGAAATGAACCGATGCTACCACGTTCTCTTCTCGGCAAGTATTTTTCGTGTGGATCCAAAAATGCGATAAAATTGCCACTGATAAAACTTGGAACGTCGGTAAAATGGTAGCATGAATTGAAGCCCAATCCGTGTTTCCCGATCTTTGTGTCGTCTCCTTGTTTTCCTCCCACACGTATTTGCATGAGCGAATCGAAATCGGTTTTTTTAAATTTGGCGTCATTGAATATCAGGATTGCAGGACCTTGCCAAACCTTCATTTCTTCGGAAAGTAGGGTCCTCGTGGGGTGCCAACGACCATCGACTATTACGTGAAGCCTAGTGGCTCCGGCATCATCGGCTATTGTTTATTTCAAGAACAAAAATCATTTAAAAAAGATTTTTAGCCATGTGTAGGCACCTCAGGACCTTACCATTTTGCAGGAATTCCTTAAATATACTCTCGAAGGGATAATCCTATGGGATGCATTTGTTTTAGATACAAATGATGTGCCATTTCGATACTATTGAGAACGAACCTTTATGATATTACGGATGGATGAGATAAGTGTCTCATTTTGGCCATAAGTTTGACAGGTTGAAGCCAAGGACATGATTTCCTTTCCGCAAGGTGGAAAGCAAAAGGTTCAGAGTCTTATTGCGGAGCGAAATTCAAGAAATACGATTGAATGAAAATTCATGCAATATTGTTTCACAGTGTGTCTGGGACTCAATGACTTCTTGTTGTGAGGTTCATAATAATCACAATCATGGTACAAAGACAAAGTGAAGATCCCTTATCAAGTTTTAGTCTTGATTTTCTGATTACGTATCATCCTAGTGATGCATGCATTAGAGCTCGTGCCACGAAAAGATACTTTGGAAAAATCCGTGATGGCTTATGCACGTGATCAATTGAATGTGTTTAGGTCTCGCATACATAGAAAAATTCATGGGTCATTAGATCTGAGCCGTTAAGAAGCTTATTTAGATTTATAATTGCCTTATACATTAATTACGTATATCTATTTTTATAAACAATCATGCTATTATATATATATGCCCTTGAAATTGAATCCAATATGAATAAATAAAGTTAGTCTTTACTATGCATATCGTATTCCATATAGGTTCAAGTCCCAAAGTCAGGCCAAAGCCTGACCCTCTGTCAAATATTTGAGCAAGATATTTCTGGCACC